CATTGCTAGGCACCATGTTGAGCCCTAAGGATCTAAACTGAGTAACGCATGGCATATGGCCACAAGTACGGATTCTAGTGAAGGAGAAAAACAAGTCAGTAGCTACTGTACGGTGATATGTGCACTGTAGTGAATTTATATGAGGGATATTTAATCAGCAAAAGGAAAAGACGATTACAGAAGCAGGGTGGGAGGGAAGGCTTCTTTGAGGAGCTAATCCTAGAGCTCAATTTGTAAGGATAGGTAGAACTAGCCAGATGGAAGAAGGGTGTCCTGGGCTAAGGGTCTGACAGGTACTAGGAAGAGAATAGAACGTACTTGAAACTACAAATAATTCTGTCTGGAGTGAAGAGTGGTTAGGAGGGACTACAGAAAGACGATGTTGAACAGGCTGGACAGGAGCCAGGCAGAGAAGGGCCTTGTGGGCATGCCTGCTTCCCTCCTTCCCTCCCTTCCTCCCTCCCCCTCCCCTGTTCTTTCTTCTTCTTCTCTCTCTTTCTTTCTTAATTCTAGTGTAGCTGACAGTGTCACATTAGTTTCAGGTGTACAATACAGTGATTTAACAATTCCATACATTGCTCAATGCCCATCAAGAGAATGTATGCTTTTTTATAAGTCCATGAGGAGCCCCTAAAGGATCTTTGATATTTTTTTAAGGGTGATTTTTTTAAAAAAAGATAATTTCCCATTTTGTGCTATCTTTGTCATTTTTTAAGGATCACTCTGACAATGGTGAGGAGGATGGGTTAGAGGAGGATCGATGAGTCAGGAATCTGAAAGGAAGTTACTGCAGGAATCCAGACAGGAAGGGATGAACACACAGACCACAGCAGGGGGGGGATTATACAAGCAATATCTGCATATATCCTAGAATCTGGGTCAGTTTTACCCAATTTGAGGTTTTTGAGAGAAAATGAAGAGAGAAAGCAGTGCCACATTCAACTCTAATACTAGGTACTAGTGTTCCTAGTGCTAACTAGCTTGGTGGCCTGGGGCAAATCTCTCTGAGCCTCATTTTTCGTATCTAACAAATGGCATGGTTGCCATTTGTTAGAGTTGTTGTATAAATATGTAATGCCATAATGGATGTGAAAACACTATAAAAAATATTAAGCATAGTGTATTATTTCCTATTGCTGCTATATCAAACTACCATACTCTTAGTGGCTTAATGCAACATAAATTTATTCAGTCACAGTTCTAGCCATCAGAAGTCTAAAGTGTGTCTCACTGGGCCGAAATGAAGGTGTTGCCAGGCCTGCATTCCTTATGGAGGATCTCAAGATGAATCCATTTCCTTGTCTTTTCCAACATGCACTTCTTGGCTCATGGCCCCTTCCTCCATCTTTAAAGCCAGCATCTTCAAATTTTTCGACACTGACTCTCCTGCCTCCCTCTTTCACTTACAAAACCCTTGTGAGGGGCGCCTGGGTGGCTCAGTTGGTTAAGCGACTGCCTTCGGCTCAGGTCATGATCCTGGAGTCCCGGGATCGAGTCCTGCATCAGGCTCCCTGCTCGGCAGGGAGTCTGCTTCTCCCTCTGACCCTCCTCCCTCTTATGCTCTCTATCTCTCATTCTCTCTCTCTCAAATAAATAAATAAAAAATCTTAAAAAAAAAAAAAAAAAAACCCTTGTGAGTATCGGGCCCACGGGGATATCCAGGCTAATCTCCTCATCCCAAACTCAGCAACCTTAATTTTCCACCCCATCCCATCATGTAAAATAAAATATTCACAAATTCCAAGGATTAGGATGTGGACATCTTTAGCAAAGACCATTATTCATTACCTTACAAGATTCTAAGTTAATATCTACTTGGCAGTCAATTTTTTTTTCAATTTCACAACTAATATGTCCAAGAGTTGTTTTATGGTTTAAAAAATAAGATTGAAGAGAAAGTTTTCTAAGTAACTCATTAGTATATCTTTAAGATTTAGCAACATATGCTAAGTTAAAAGCTCAAGGATAACTATAGATTTTGATATTTAACTTAATATAATCTTTCCCATCTCTTCAAAACAAATGAAAATTTATGACAAAATCTAAGTAGAATCATAAGCATTCTGATGTTTAACTTCTATGATAGTATCCTGGCCTATGACAAAATAAGTGGAAGAAATCCCTAATTGTAGAAATAAACACATTTTGAAGTCTGGAAATATAGGAAAGGTCAGGCTATCCATCAAACAAAGGGCATTAAATACCTCAAAGGCAAACATTCCTGACCCCAAGGCAAGTACGCAGGTGAAAGAGGAAACATGCCATACTGGGGCCTGAAAGTAGAAGACAAGTAAAGTCAAGACTGCTTCTCAGGACCCCTAGAGCAAGCCTAGTTCAGACCTCTGTAAGCCATCTGGTTTCAAGACACATATCTTCTCTACCCTTCAAATATGTCATTGTGGATTATACCTTCTAGTCCCACGCTAATGGTTATCCTAAAAATACGATATAGACATAACACTAAGATAACAATTCCTAAAACTTTGTTATTGAATAAATGCAGTGTATATTATAGCACAAAACAGTACAAAAATAGGATTTATCCAAATCTGAAAAATCACAAATCATATATATATTTTCCACAAACTTATTTCTCCCCCAAACTTATTAATAATTTCAACCAAGCTACAATTAGGGAATTTTTTAAAACAATTTCCATGGTGTCTCATTTCAACCTCCTATCTCTTGAATATATACAACCCTGACATTACTGACATTCACAATAATAACCTCAAGATTATGAAAGATACCAACTTCTTATTGATCGTTAAAGAAAAACTAAGCTATGGCCAGAGTAATTTTACTACTAAATGTACTAAGAACATGTAAAAGATACATATTTTATTTAAAACCTGGCTATAGATGAACTATAAACACATGAAATCCTTCTGTCAGACTATTAAAGTATTCATACCACAACTTTTCCTATCACATTGCACAAATATAACTTTAACAAAATCAATAGCAGGGCTCGAGTTTCTAAGCAATACAATTTAAACAATTCCAATCGTGGAAACAAGGTTTTTCCAAAGAAGCAATTTTTTTTCTAAACTATGGCATTTCGTACTAATCAATCAAAAATAGTATCAATAAAAAATGCAATAGAAGCTATCTTATATTTCACATCAGAATATATTCTTTCTTGAAACTAAGAGACAAAAAAGATTTATAAAGAGCAATCATCAGTCATTTTTTTCTAATAAAGAAGCTTTATGAACATAACTGGAAGATGATGATAATGATAGTAATGACAACTAAAGCTGGAATGATTTCATCTAAGAAGCTTTTACTGGCAAGAGAAAAAAAAAAAAATCCCCAGAGAGAATGTCATTAAAACTTTTTCATGAGTCATCATCCTAATTGGTAAATGCAGTTAGCAATTTTATGATTCTACTTTCTCTACCTGTAACAATGACCTCTCCAAAAAAAGATCAAAGCCATTCATTCACTCATTTACCCACTGCTGACCAACTACTCAACAACAGCTTGCAACATGGCAAATGGTACAGAAAATATATTTCAGATGCACGTGTACTATCTGTACCATCTTCTACATACTCCCTTCCTTCCATACAAGTCCCAAGGCTACACGTGGGTATTCTAATCCTTAAGTGAAAAACTAGACTGAAAAAAATATATGCATCATCTGTTAACTGATAAAGAATATAAATGCCAGTATCTGAGAGGTTCCAAGTCAACATAAAACCTGTTTAAAGTAGTTTTAAAAGAAAGCAAAAATATGCAAAAGAAAAGATTAATACTAAATATGAGATATTTATTAATGGTGAAGACACAGATTATATACCTCAGATACTACTGTGAAAAATCTGATATTTAATTCCTGATTGACCATATCAGGTAGAAAAAAAATTTCAGTTTGCCAGACAGAAAAGTCACCTTTCACAAATGCCAAAAGCTTAATCATAAAGTTTTCTGTAATACTGATCAAATCACATGTTAACAGAGAAGAACAGATGCATGTGCAACAAATTAGGCTTCAAGTTTTGTTAGAGTTTTAAAAATTCAGGTAAAGCTTCCCTGTACAAAATTCAGATAATGGCACTGAGGACAAACACCAGACAACGATGTATCAAAAGAAACATGATGTAACAACTTTTTTCCTATAGTGAAATACAGTTACTAAGTCAGATAGACCTTTTAGTCTCCTCTGTGATTTTTTAAATAGGCAATTAGAAGGATTAAAATGGGAATGCATTTGGAGTTTCCCAAACAAAGGGTCAGATCCTAAGGAAGATAGGAAGTAATACAAAAAAACTATCCATTAATGTCTCAAAAGCCAAACAAAAAAACAATGGCAGGTTACCTCAATGTCACTTGTTAAAAAAGAATCCAAGTCAACCTTACTAAGCCATGTTAAATAAATAAGAAAAAAAAACACACAATAAAGCCATATGTTATGTGTTCCTCAGCCAATTTACTCATTTAATCCACAACTGCAGAGGGTCCGTGGGGTATTATGCCACTTACAATGGAAATTCTAAAAGAAGAGAAAAATATTCTTTGACCTCCAGGCATCTGCTAGTCAATGCCAGAAAAAGAACAAATTCAATACTGTACAGGTAATCCATCATGAGGAATTTAACACCCATAGAAGTAATAGATTGGGAAACCATTAAATGCTAGTGGTTTTTTGAAAAATATTGAGACTTTTTGATCAGTAAGAAGTAAACGTAGGCAGAGGAAAACAAAAGAAGGTGAGAATTCAAGAAGAGCAATAAAAAACAGGGAAGATAACAACGCAGAGTAGAGAAGTACAAACTGGAAGCATAGGCATCTCTGTAGAGAAGGATGCTGTAGCAATCAGAGTCCAGAGGAGGGGACATGACAATGAGTGAGGGCAACAAATGGCTGCAAAAGGAGGTCTTAGCTGGAGACTCTGAGCCAGGAGTCTAAGGAACACCAGTCAACATTATCCAATGGGGATGTTCACCAAAACTACTGACATATTATTTCATGAATAGAAGAGATTTAATACTTACCCGATTTATATGGTTGCTCCTTAAAATAACCTGTAGTAGGGTTTTCTCAAATTCTTCCAACTTCTTGGAACACTTTTTAAGAATATGATTAGATAAGTTACAATCACTGATCAGTCTGGCTAACGTATTAACAGCTTCTGCCCAAAAGCTTGAAAAAGGAAATTTGGGTTTACGGTAAAAAGTGATCAGGCCATCCAGCAACTGAAAAACAGAATCAGATACTGTGGAAAAGTCATTTTCAAAGTGGCTTAAGTCTGTTTTCAGACTCCCTGATTCTGTCAAGTTCTTCAGTTCAAGTAGATGTTGCAAGAATTGCATGTGGGAAGACAGAGGATTTTCCTGAGTGGCACAATGTCTTTTCACAATGGGCAGTGGTAGAAAGGGTGTGGAGGTGCAGCTCTCCACAAGATGCTGGGTCATCTCTGAAGGCTCACTTCTCTGCTCATTTGATAAATCACACCCAGAATCTTCCAGCAGACTTAATGTATTTTCAGAACTTCCGGGTTCCTGAGCCTGCAACTGGGAAGATGGGTCTCCTAAAACAGAAAGGAATAGCAGTGTTATCTTTCTGTAGCTAACATTTCTTCATATAAAAACTAGACAGGGGCCCCTGGGAGGCTCAGTCAGTTAAGCGTCAGACTCTTGATTTCAGCTCAGGTCATGATCTCAGGATTGTGAGATTAAGCCCTGTGTTGGGAGCCACACTGAGCGTGCAACCTTCTTAGGATTCTCTCTCTCCCTCTCCCTCTGCCCCTCCCACCCTGTTCATGCTCATTCTTTCTCTCTCTCTCAAAAAAAAAATAAAACAAAACTAGACAGATTTTTCTAACTTAAAATACTAAATGAAGCATGCAAAAACATACTAAACATTTAAAAACCAGTAGAGAAAAAACTGTGAAAGGAATTGCTTAAACTGACTGAAGAAAGATCTCTGGTAGAAAGCAAAGGTGATTCCCCCATGTATTTTCAGGTCACTATCTCTCGTTCAACTCTGTGCCATGCTTGAAAGATACAGAGAAGAAACCACAAGACCTGAAGAAGGTAACTGTCTGGTGGAGACTCCAATGGGTCACTACAAGGCAATAAGTTTTATGCAGAGATAGAGATCTGCTCAGGGCACTGTGAAAACAGGAGGACCCCTGAACAGTGCACCCTGGGTGGATTACTGCATCCTGGAGGAGGCGATGGTAGCACTAATTTATAAAGCATTAAGTAGGAGTTCCGAGTTAAAAGTCAGGGAAATGCAGGAAGAGATTCCACACACCAAAGGGATAAGAGCTAAAGTACAGACTTAAAAAGGAAAAGAAAAGCATTGTGGATATAAGGAGCCACAAGCAGTTTGATGTTCCTTTACAGAAAATATAAAGCAAGATACTAAAAAAAATATGTAGAGGCCAGATCATAAAAGATCTTAGAAGATATATTAAAGGCCTTAAAATTTATAGGTAGAATGAGTGTAATTCAAACTTGAATAATGTAAGACCCCTTTGGAAAAATTATATACACATCCACATGAATACCTGATGTACAAAAAATAACTATAAACAACTTATATATGTATGTGTACTTATAGCTATTCAAGCACACCTATATCTGTATAGAGAGATAAATAGATGGATAGGTAGAGCTGGATCTCACAGATCCTTGAAATTATGTCTATGACCACTAGAATCTTCTGATGTGGGCTGAGAGGTACTACAGTTAAAGCTAAACTAGTAATTTTAGGCCATTCTTTGACAGAAATGCCATCATAAACACAAATGAGGTTATCATCTATAAAATGATTATCAGTAAAAGTTGCCAAAAAATTGAGAAATTCTCATTGAATGTTCTAAAGCACATTCATATTTATGAAACCAAGTTTGGGAAATATTGCTGTCAGCAATGAAAGGAGGAGTGAGACACTAAATAGTGTAATACAGGAAAGGGAAATGGTTTTATTTTGCATTTCACAGATCACTCACTCTATTGGCTGTATGAAGGGCAGATTTGAGGGAGGACACAATGAGGCACTGAAGGATGTCCTAATATCAGATGATGAAAGAAATGAACCAAGCAGTTGCTGTGGAAAAGAAAGAAAGGGACTGACCAGGGAAATCCATACAAAACATCAAAATATAACCTAGAAGCCAGCGGACTGACTGGAAATGGGCAATGAAGTCGAGGTAGGAAAAAATGCCTTTGTTTTTGACTCAGAGGACTAGGTAGATGACAGCGCTACTAACTGAAATGGTAAAAATACAGACAGAAGAACTGGCTTAGGAGAAACGATAAAAGTTTAGGTTTGGTCTTGTAAACTGTGAAGCAACTGGAGGAACTCTAGGCAAAGAGATTCACCTGCAAATTGGCCACATGAGCCTAAGGGTGGGGAAAAGGTCTAGACTGAAAATACGTTTGAGGAGTCATCAGTGTGTAGGTGGTATGTGAAATCATGAAAATGGTTATGATCACCTGGAGAGAGTATGGGAGCAGTGACAAGAACAGAAGATCAAAGAGAGACCCTGAGGAGTATCAATATTTGAGGGCTGAGTAGAGGGGGAAAAATGATTAAGGAGACAGAGAAGGAACAATTAAAGCAGTACAAAAGGAATAAAAATGACTGTGTTATGAAAGTCAAGGAAAAAGTTTCAAGGAGAATTACATACAGTAGAGAAATCCGTAAAATAAAAAGCTGAGAAAAATATGTTGGCATTACTCATTAGAAAATCACCAGTGACGGTATCCACAGAAGCTTTGCTCAGTCAGGGTGGTGGACAGAGGCCAGACTGCAATGCGAGTGACTGTGCAGAAAGTCAGAGAGGACTGGCTGAGGCTTCTGAGGACTTGGATCAGGAGAGTATAAAATGGGAGAGTAATTGCAGGCAAATGTGGCATGTCAAATTGGGAGAAATTTGAGCAATTATAGACTAAACAGAAAAAAATAACACAGAAGCAAAAGTTGGGAGAAATGAGAAAAAATTTAAAAAGCCAGGTGTGGCCTGGCCCTGGAGAAGGCAGGGGGACACTGAGTCAAGGACCCCAGTGAATGGGTTGTGCTTAGTGATACAGAAGTAATTTGTTTCCTTTGAGGCTGAAGGAAAAAGAATGAGAATGTATAGGGATGTCAAAAAAAGAAAAAAAAATACCCTTAGCATATAGGAAGTTAAAAGAGATCTCACCTAACAGTCATTTTTTAAAGTTAGAGATGGGGGGATACTGGTTGATCAGGGCATGGGAAGAATGATGAAAGGAACATCTTCTATCCTCCCCATCTTACATTTGGAAATTTGATTTGTTGCTCTTTCGTCCCTCTATACAAATAGAAGGTGACGATGAGGCAAAATGAGAGGATCAGGCTTTAATTTAGAGTTCATTCAATTAAAAAGTATCTGCTATAACAATGACAAATGTGTATGTGCTTGCTAATTACCACAACAGCATCTGTACTCCATGTTAAGGGGATAATGCAGTAAGTTCAAAAATGCGGTGGTAAGCCAAACAGTGAACTACTGGCAAAGCATTTAAACCATACGTGGCCATTTCTACACTAAAAGAGGCACACAGCCTGCTCATTTTAAGCCAACAATTTATTTTTCTGATGAGCAAGAATAAACATTTGAAATGACTTCTCACTCTTCACAAAAGTAAAGGGTGGGGGATTATGGTAATTATTTAGGTAGATTATATTTTTCTTTCATGGAATTCAAAATGGTTCTTCACTAAGAAAGTGAACAGAAGTTTAAATATTTCACAAACCTCCTCAACTTTCCATCAAGGTAAGCTGAACTTCATGGGTGATGATTTCAGGGAATACATAAAATGAATTCTATCAACAACTAAACTGGGAAGCAAAAAGCTGTTTTCTTGTTTCTGCTTTTCACCCCTCACTGGTGTACCTTCTGGCAAGTCATAACCACTCCATCTCATCTCCTCCATGTGCTGATCAGTACATATTTGCAGGGAGTAGTTCTACCCATGCATGCGCTCTGGGCATAGGAATACACAAACTGACCATCATTCTTCCTGGATGCTTCATTTCTGCACCCGCAAAAAGGACTGATGAGGGCATATGTTGGAGACGCCAATGTGGGAAACCACACAGAGAGGAATGTTCTCTCAGTGCCCTAAAGGAGTGCATAAATTCCACCAGCAAAGACTACAGTGAGCTTTTATGCAATATGGCTTGCAGTATTAAAATCACTTTGTCAAAATGAATAGAACAATCTTATATTCACATTTCACTTTACAAAACGGTTTCATCAAATAATTCAATTGTTGTTTCCAACAACCCTTGAACATATGTTATTATTATTCCTAATTTACTGATAAGGAAATGCAGGCTCCACTTGATTAAGAGGTCTAAGAAAAGCCACAGAGGGAGAAGCAAAACCAATTACTCAGTTCCAAGTCCAATCATCTTCTAACCACAGCAAAAAGGCCTATGTGTTCCCATGCCAGCTTCTGTACATACCCCTCTGCCGCTTTAAATGAGTCTTACAGAACTCATTCTACTCAGATTCTACTCATTTGCTTGGATGACTTTTCTCAAAATAAATCTCGAAGCTTGACTAACAAAGCATCGTACCCAAAGGAGAGAAGAGAAAATGAAGCCATGCTACTGCAACTTTCTGTAATTCCTGTTTTTCCAGGAGGGACTAAGGTGAAGCAGAAGTCAGATGATGCTTCTCTCTTAATTTGTTATTGGGCTGAAGGGATTGAGGACTGTAATTTCTCTCCAAGTCATTGGATATGATCTAACCAACACATTTGTCATTAGATGTAAAGAGATAGTAAAGGACATACACACACATCCTGATCAAGCAGAGTCCAGCACATTTTAAGCGCTCAGAAATACTGTTTATTGTTATTAAATGATAATAGATACACCAAGAATCTAAATTATCCTAAAATATGACATCACATATAAAAGTGCATAAAATAAGATACCAGTTAAAACTACAGATCCTGTCCAAAATATTCTATAGTCCCTCTCATACCCTGGATCTCATAGACTTTCAAGTCCATCTTACTGGGCCCTTGTCTCTTCCATCTTCTTTCAGTTGTTAAATTCCATCTTCATCCCACTTACCATTTAAGAGTGGCTCTCAAGCATGCTCAACAAAATAGAGCTGTGCCCGCCTGCTACACATCCTACCCTAGAAATGCCCACCCCTGAATCAAATGTATCTTCTGCTGCGCCCCAGATTTTCACATCCACATCAAATCTTGATGTCTTTTGTCATCCATTTCTACAGTCCCTATATTATTTATAAAATTAGACCCAGAGAACCAACTGTCTAAAAGGCACCTTTTTCTGTACACCTTGAAAATCCCAAGGCTTTCTATTTATAAAGCTGTACAAATCATCTTCGTGAACTGCACATAAACATACAATTCTTGTTTGTACTGCTTACCGCCAATTTCAGCCCATAGCAAGACTATTCTCCAGTCACCAGGCCCGAGCGAAGGATCACCCTTGGCAACTTCCTTTCACCTCCCACATACAGTGAAATGCCATGCTATGCTGATTCCATCTTCTGTACCTGTATTAGTCAGG